TTGATATTCATGGAAATGGAAAGCAAAACCCACCGCTTGCTGATATTGTTTTATTTGAGTTTTTTCTTTTGGGTTTCTCCTTTAGAATGAGTCTGTTTGGAGAAGGTTTCCACACCTTTATAAATGGTAATGTGTTCTCCTCCCCAACCGATGTGGAATATCACAATTCACCTCTCTTCGAAGCCCAGCGTCCTCCCTGTTACTCGTTCCTTTCTTCAATCGATGTGGGACCCCACCAAATCCACCCCTTTTAGGGCCAGCATCTTTACTAGCACACTGCCTCATCGTCCAGTGTCTGGTTTTGATACCATGTCCCACATTGGTTGGGGAGAAGAACAAAACACCCTTTATAAAGGTGTGGAAACCTTCCCTTAGAAGACGCATTTTAAAGCCTTGAGGGGACGCTCGAAAGAAAAAGCTCAAAGGGTCTGAAAACTTAATAAAATCAAAGAACAAAGGCTACAAGGAATATAAATAATTTTAACCTTAAAATGAGGGAATTGTGTTAATTTTAATCTCAAATTTCTATTTTTTATTTGACCCGATAACGTGACCAATCTAGACTCAAGCTAGTTATAGCCCGTAATCTAATATGTCAACGATCGCAGGCTAATGATACATGCAATAACTTCTTCAAGCCGGTAAGCTAATGTATAGTATGGTAGATTTTATTTAATTAGATGTGATCCTTAAAGTAATTTATGATTTAAAAAATGATTTATTACACATATAGGAGAATAAATGTTAGGGTATTTTAAATTATAGCAAAGAGAATTTTTAGAAATTAATGTCTATTTATTACATGAATAAACTTTAATATTAAAAATTATATTCCAACTTTTTTTAAACTTTTAATATCGATGACATTGAATAGTTAGATTTATTAAATTTTATTTTTCAGATTGTTAAAAAAAAAAAAAAAAGATTCCATGAATTTCTTACGTATAATTTTTCGATTCCTACAAAAATAAATAAGAATCTCATAAAGAAGGAGATTAAATTAAGATAGGAATGGGAAAGACTTCCCATCTATGTTCGGTGCTATTTCTGATTTTTATTACTATTGTACAAGAAAGATTTGAATGTCTAATCTCTTGGACATAAAAATACATACTTTAACGAGTTGATATAAATTTATGGTTTAATCTTTTCTATTTAAAAAACTCATTTGCGAGCATGGGCCCACCAGGCAGGCTAGCAAACCCTGTAAGTCTGACTTATCATGCTAGAACTCGCTAACGGGCTCTATGTCGAACACCACAAAGAGAAAGGGCACACATAATATCAGGGTGAACATAATGTCGTAAATCGTATTGGGAAGTATTCCAATACACCTGACACGTAAATATGCATGAGGTACTCATAACTCATAATTATGGCATAACGTATGATGCAAGACAAACCTTAATTTATCTATAATACCATAAGTTTGTTAAGTATGCTTATATATTTCTCGTACAATCTGTACTACATAACATAACTTTCATGGCATGATCTAAGGAGGTTTATGGATCATAAATTACCGATTTCATAACCATTTTATACAACATGATCATATCATAGCATAACATGACATATTATAACACATTATGCCATAGCATAACATAAATTAGCATAGAATAACATATAAATCGTATACATGACACGTGCAGGGGCCATGGGACACACATAATCATACATAATACAATTCATCCAGCCCAGTTGATAGTGGAGTCACTTACATGATTGACCTAAGCTCGGGTTACTAATTATTCTTGGTAGTAGACTACATTTGCTCACGGTCCAATTCAACCTTGGATCCATCTTTTTGATGATATCAATTAAAACAAGATAGACGGTAAAAATCAATCACCTTGTAATCCAATCTCGATATATTTACTATATCTTTTTTTCCTCCAAAATCAAGTCTATTGTTTCGTAATTAAAATTATTAAAATTAAAAATCATGGACAGATGGTTTTGTATAATTTTGATCATATTTTTAAGACAATAATTTTATTGACATTGTAATTAGAATTAAGAACCGAAAATTATGATTGAATTCTTAACTGTTTTTTTTATGGCGATGGATAGTGACGTGGTTTCTTAAAACATGTAAATTTTTCTCGTATTTAAGTCTTTAACCCACTTCAACTTAATTGTAACGAAATTGACATAATTTCGACGAAAAAAGAATTTAAAAACTGACTTACTGGAGAGGATTCCAACGACAACTCCTCTCTTCATAATACTGAGAACCAGATAAACGTAACACTCCGACGGAATGACTAGAACACTTACGACAATCGATAGGGGGTTTTATTTCCGACAAGCATTTTTATTTTTGTGTTCTTGCACAATTTTAATTAATAATTTTTTTTTTAAAAAAAATGGGATTTCCTTGGGAAATTAAAATATGGATCTTGACAATATATTATATAATTAAAGCGTTACCCAAATTTTGAGGCTTTGAAGTTAATGAAGGGCTGAATTCAAAATTTCTCTCCCAATTATCAATGTGTTAGAGATTCCAAAATAGAAGCTTATTTTCATTTCTCAAAGAAAAAACAAACGTTTAATATATCAAACCACGTGTTCCTTCTTCCATGGTTTGACTTCAAATCATACATTTATTTATTAAATCTTATATTTAATCGCTAAATATGTATGTGGTGGTCGATATGAGGTATGCACGAGTTAAGTTGGACTCGAAATTTTGGGTTAGTGACCTGAATGACTTGAATAAAGTTCATTACCCAATAAGCCATAGATTTTTGAATTGTATACACGAGTTAAGTTGGACCCGAATGACTTGAATAGAGTTCATTACCCAATAAACACTCAATTTTCGAATTTTATACACGAGTTAAGTTGGACCCGAATGGCTTGAATAGAGTTCATTTCCTAACAAACCCTCCATTTTTTAATTTTATACACGAGTTAAGTTGTACCTGAATGACTTGAATAGAGTTCATTATCCAATAAACCCTCAATTTTCGAATTTTATACACGAGTTAAGTTGGACCCGAATGGCTTAAATAGAGTTCATTTCCTAACAAACCCTCCATTTTTTTAATTTTATACACGAGTTAAGTTGGACCCAAATGACTTGAATAGAGTTCAGTTCCTAACAAACCCTCCATTTTCGAATTTTATGCACGAGTTAAGTTGTACCCGCATGACTTGAATAGAGTTCATTATCCAATAAACCTTCAATTTTTGAATTTTATACACGAGTTAAGTTAGACCCGAATGGCTTGAATATAGTTCATTATCCAATTAACCCTGGCAAATGTAGTCATGATTTTGGTGACCAGTCATACACTCTCTTTATTGACATAACATGAATAGTAAAATTCTATCTAACATGAAAGCAAGTAAAAGGAGTTCGGAACGGACATGTAGTCATGAACAATATGTCTTGGACAAGCATGACTAAGACATGGCTACAGACAACACGCATTGAACAAATATGGTCGTGACACACTCTTCATGTTCATCTTCCAAAATAGGCCATAAAATTTGAATTTTTAAATTAAGTCTAAAAGTGGAAATAACCTTTAAATTTTTAATTGATATTAATCTTACATTAATAATTATAATTATTCATATGCACGACATTTATTTTTCATTGAAACTTCAAAGTTTTTTCAATAAAAAAAAAAAAGATAATTAATATCCATACCAATAATATATAATTTTAGGTGGTTGGCTAAAATTAGTGACCACATGTGGATCTCATAATTCTACTCTCCACTCTTATGCTACTACTGTCTTGTCTTTACCAGAAAATCGTTTGAACAAGGGTGAGTATTATAAATACTAATTAAGACATTCCTTTGTTAGGTTTAAGTAGGCGTGCATACACATTACAACACGCAAGAAAAATCAAGGGACCAATTTTCTTTTCAAAACTAGGTCACTCGCTCATGGCCAGACTTGAATCACGATTGTCTAACTCAATTCTAATTGATACACTAAGACACTGACCATTGAACTCATACGTTGATGACCAGTCCCCAAAAATCATGAACTAACCTTTAAGGTGAGTCGATTACATAGGGGTTTGGTAGCAACTGCTCGTTCTGGAGTTGCGTGCACATGAGAGGAGAGCCAAGTTCGATTCGACTCTTATAGCCGAATAATCGCTAGTTTTTTTTTTTTTTTTTTAATAAAAGAGATTAAAAAATGAACACACAACGGAGGTTACCATAGTAAAAAAAAATCCACGTATGCTTAAGCCAAGATCAAATCTAGTAGTAACTGAAGATAAATGTCAACCGGAGCTTAACTCAATTAATTAGGATATATAAATTAACCAACATATTCACTATTCTTTAAAGAAATCACAATCAAATATCATTTAAAGACGACGTAACATGCCTTCACTCACGTGCTTGTTTAGAAAAATCTCAAGAGGTCATCTGACATAAACTTATTCAAAATTAAGCATGTTTAACTTTAAAGTTTCGAAAATCGAGTTACCTCCTAGAGTTTTCCTAAAAGATATGTGAGTAAGGACAAAACATGCTAAAATTTACTATGTTGGTCTGTAGGGATAATCTTCACTCTTAAAAACACTTCAAGACAAGTAAGTTTGGTGACCATGTCGTAGGAGGTCTTGAGTATTATAGGAACTATCGTACGAGTCACTCTATCAGTTGCTTCTAATAGATATTGACCACGACATAGCTCGATGTCAAAAAGGTCTTTCTTCATGAAGACCTACATTAATTGGTTTGGTTTCGATTCGTCCTCCACCAAGATTTCAGGGTCTCGAGCCTTCCTTTTTGGCTCCATATCCAAACGAACCGGTTTAGAGAGAGAAAGGAGAAAGTGAGAAGCAAAGGAAAGGGAAAAAAAAGGGTAAAAGATGGGAAGATGTGCAATTTAAAGAAAGTATTAAAAGCAAAGAGAGAAAGAGAGGAAGATGACAGATAATAGACATTGAAGAAAGGATGAGAAAGAGTGTAATAAAATTTGAGTTTGGTAGGTTTGAGTTTTTATAAATAATATATATCCTTCATTAAATTCCTCAACCCCCTCCCTCCTCTCTTTCTTCTTCTTCTTCTTTCCCTTCCCTTTCCTTCTATTTTATCTGAATCCAATGCAGGCAATCATGATCTTGATGTTGAAACTCCATTAATGTTCTTCGTGTTCTTCGTGTTCTTCGTGTTCGAAGAACCCTAATGGATCATCTTCTTCCTTTTGCTTTGTTCTTCTCTCTTTTTCTTCTTCTTATTCAAAGATTCCCTCTGGTTTGTGGCCTCAATTTTAGTTCTAAACAAGTTAGCAGCTTGAGATTGGACAGGATTCAAAGGCATTTGGACACCATTAACAAGCCTCCTCTTCTCACCATTCAGGTCATCAATTTCTCCCCCTTTTTTCTCTTCAATGTTCCATTTTTTTAAATGGGTTTCTAAAAATTTGCATTTTTATGTAATGGGTATATCAAATTTATGAACTTTTATAAATTTTTGCCATTTTTTTTTGTTCGTTTGTACTAAAAAAAAAAATCAAAAAAGGAGTATTTGAAAGGTATGTTATTCCAAATGTTTCTATAATTCTACCATTAGAGATATTGTCTTGTTTAGACTTTTTCTTTTCAGCTTTAAAACACATATGATAGGAGAAGGTTTTCACGGCCTTATAAATTGTGTTTTGTTTTCCTCTAATTGAGACATCACAATTTTCGGGATTTTTTTTATAAGAATATTAAAATAAAAATGTTTTTTTTTTAATTTTTTTTTTTGCTAATATTTTTTCATTTTGTTTATTCAGAGCCCAGATGGTGATATTATAGATTGTGTTCATAAAAGAAAACAGCCTGCTTTGGATCATCCTCTCTTGAAGAACCACAAGATTCAGGTCCAAACACTCTCTAAATACAATAATAGTAATTAAATTTCATATCAGTTCTTAAACTTTTAAACCTGGTCTATTGTTTAACAAATAGTTTAACAAGTGGGGACGTTGGTATAATTGATAACCAAACCAATTCAGAGTACTTAATCCAAATCATAAAGATTGGGCTGCGTTATACTTTTTTTTGGTTTGAGTCGGGATGAATTGTTAGAAAATCGAAAAATTTGGTTCGATTTATAGGTTGACATTTTTTTGGTCGAGTCTCAAAATATAAGGTTACAATCGTACTCATAATTTAAAAAAGATTAAGAATATTTAACTTTTGTAATCGAAATGTTTGATATTTGAATTTTATAAAATTTTAGTGGTTAGTATGATAGAGAATAAATAAGATTTTTTAAAAATATATTAAAAAAATAACCCGACAACCAGATTATAATTGTGAACTCTATTTAAATTATTCGGGTCACCAAATTAATTAAAAATTTTCAATTCAACTCAGCCCGTGTACACTCTTGATTTAACGTGCTACTCGTCGTAGAGAAATTAACAACTAAAATAACAATTTAAAAACTTTTAAAAAAATATATAATTATTAATTTATTGGTGCAGAGAGGGCCAACAGAGTGGCCAAAAGGGAAGAAGGTGAAAGAGAATGAAGAAGATGTGAGGGATGGGAGGGCAGGATCAGGTGCGGGAGGTCCATTTCAAACTTGGCGTGTGAACGGGACACGGTGTCCGAAAGGGAGTATTCCAGTGCGACGCAGCACAGTAAACGACGTGCTAAGAGCCAAGTCAATTTTTGACTACGGGAAGAAAAAACGACCGATACTCCTTGATCGACAAATCGACGCTCCTGATGTAGTCAGTGGGAATGGTCACGAGGTACCTGATCTTTTCTTCCTTTTTCCTCCTTTTTCATAGCATTTATGAATGGATTCTTTTCCTTCACTTCAACTCTATATATTTTAGATATATCATTAAATTTTTATTACATTAAAATAATAATATAATAATAAATAAATAAATTGTTGGTTTTGGTTGTTTTTTTATTATTATAAACTTAGTAATTGATTTTTTTTCTGGCTTAATTTTGAATTTTTTATATTTAATATCAATTAATAAAATATTTATTAGAGGATTGAGAGAGGCTTAAAAGCTAAAAAAAATTATTTCAATGATTTTATAAGGTAATTGCAAAATATAATTTTTTTGCTTGAAAAAATAGTTAATATTTTTTAAAAAATAAAAATAAAATTTAAAATAAGCATCAATAAAAAAGAAAAAATTAAAAATTTGACTGGTCAAAGGGTTGATCTAGTAATTAATTTAAAGAAAATATAAATAAATGACCTATTAAACCTCGAAAGTTTAAATTAATTTACTTTATTATTGTCGGTTTTTATATATATAATTTTTTTTTTACCCTAAAAATCTTTTATATATATATATATATATTTTTAGATTTAGTAAGATGTATTTTAGTTCCTAATAATTTGTAATTTATTTTTAATTTTCTGAATTTTATGCAATTTTTATCAATTTAATTGGATGATGTTATATGTTTGTGAAATGGCGGTTGCATATAAAATAGCATGCGATCGCATACACGGAATCATCAGAGATGTACGGCGCGAAGGCAACAATAAACGTGTGGGACCCGTCTATTCAAGTGGTCAACGAGTTTAGCCTCTCTCAGGTTTGGATCATCTCGGGATCATTCGACGGCTCTGATCTCAACAGCATAGAAGCTGGTTGGCAGGTATTTTTTTACATTTTCTGCACCCTCCCGCACACAATCCCATACCACTCTGCATTTTCATAAAATAAAATAATAATAAAAAAGGATTTTTTTTGTTAACTTTAATGCAATTTATAGAGTCATCGTTGATTGAATCCAAAGCTAATTCAATTTTCTATAAATTTGTTTGATTCTTTTTCCTTATAAATATATATATTTATTATTATTTTTTGTTATTTTATGTAAATTTTGAGATAATTTAAGGAAAAAAAAATATTAATTATTAATATTTTAAGTCAAAATTAGATCCTAAAAATAATGCACGTATCTTTATTTATTGTTAAAAAATAAATGATTTATGCAATTAAATACAATTGAGCGTGTGTTTTAGTTATAACATTATAAATATATATTTTCAATTTGTATTTATATTGGATTTTCTAAAGTCTTGATTATTCTACTAGTCAGGTCAGTCCGGAGCTTTATGGTGACAGCAGACCTAGATTATTCACGTATTGGACGGTTAGATTTCTAATCTCGCTATTATTTTTAAATTTTTTTTCTTCTAAGAATTTAAGATAATTAACCGTTTAATTTTTGAACATTAGACCCTTAATTTTTAAAAGTATATTTTAACTTTCAATTTTATATATAATCAAGTTTTATATTTAATAAAATACTTAAATTTTCAATTTTGTGTGATTTTTATAAAATCGAAAAACACATCAATCGAATTTATAATTTTGAAAATTTAAAATCTTTACACAATTTATAATTTAATCGGTTAACACATTCTTTAATTTTACATTTTTCCCATTTTTTTAATTTTATTACTTATATGGTAAGAATATTTTTAAAATTGAACGTAAATTTTGGAAAATTAATATATAATTTATAAAAATTAGATAGAGGGGAGAAAACAAACCATTTTAAAAAATTTGAAGAATTAAATTTATAATTTAACTTAAAAAATTAAAATAATTAATTAAATTTGAACCTCTTAACATTAACCTATAAAATAAAACATTTTAATATTATTATTATTTTATTTTTATTATAATTATTACTTCTTAATTATTTATTTATTTATTCTTTTCAGAGCGATGCATATCAGGCAACCGGTTGCTATAACCTGTTATGTTCTGGATTTGTACAAACAAACAACAAAATCGCCATCGGAGCCGCCATTTCTCCGGTTTCTTCTTTTTCCGGCAGCCAATATGACATTACCATTCTCATTTGGAAGGTAGTTTTTTTTTTTTTTTTTTTTTTTTTTTTTTTTTTTTTTTTTTTTTTTTTTTTTTTTTT